AACGGCACTGGGCAGGTCTAGGTCTCAGGGAGGGGGTGAGCCTCCCCCCCTGCCCTGGGACGGGGAGGCACGGCTCTCCAGCACCCATCTCCCCTCTTCTTGCTTGCAGCTGCCGGAGCCCATTATGCCCTTCCGCATGTACAACGAGCTGATGGGCCTGGCCAAGGAGAGCTTACAGGGCGGCGAGGCCAAGGGCAAGAGCGGGAAAGGGGGCCCTGAGCTGGTGGACAAAGGAGCCGACACGGACAAGGTGGTGGTGAACCTGGTGCTGAAGCTGAAGGAGCTGCTGAAGGAGCTTCCCTGGGAGAACATGGCCACACTCCAGTACCTCCTGCAGCACCTGAGAAGGTGAGAGGGGCAGGTCCAGAGCCTGCGCGGGTGCTGGGGCACCTTCCCTTTCTTCCCTAGAGTGGGAAGGTAAGTGCAGCCTCCCCACTGGACCCACGCTGGCAGCGGGGACAGCCCAGCCCTTCCCAGGAGCAGGGAGGTAGATCCATAGCTGCAGCTACTTCTCTGCCGCTCACGAAGCTCGTGTCTGCCACGAGCGGGGACTCCTGTGCTGCCAGCCCAGCAGCTCCTCCAGCCTGGATGCGCCAGGCTGGGCAAGCCCTGCCTGTCCACCCATCCCTTCTCCCTGCTTGCTCTCACGAGTTCCTCCTCCTCCTCCCCAGGATCGTGGAGGTGGAACAGGACAACAAGATGACCTCAAGCAACCTGGGCATCGTCTTTGGGCCAACACTGATGCGCCCAAGGCCCACGGACGCCACTATTTCCTTGTCCTCGTTGGTTGATTATCCCCACCAAGCTCGCATCATCGAGGCGCTCATCATCTTCTATTCGACCATCTTTGAGAACAAGGAGACCACGGTGCTGGCCGACGCCAGCAAATACGCCACAGACAGCAAGGAGGAGGCAGCCAGCTGCTCTGACCTGGTAGGAGTCTCTGGGGAAGGGAGCACCCTTAGGGGATGCGGAGCCTACCAAGACAGCCTGCTGGCGCTTGCAACCTGGAGCAGATCAGCTGGGGCAGACCCTCCTGCAGCCCTAACACCCCCCACCCCTCTCCTGAACGGTGCCCCGGCCTCGTGCTCTGCCCTGTGGATTGCACCAGTGACGTTCCCCATCCCTGCCGTGCCACACGATGGTACGGGTCTGGCCAATGCTGTTGCCTGTCTCTTAGGAAACCCGCCTTGCTTCGTCATGTCCCCCTGTGCATCCCCACTCCACTTGCGAGTGGTTTTCTGCCCCAAAAGAACAGTCTCAGTAGGCGAGACAGGCGGGGGGTGGGAGGATGGAGCCTACACGCTTTTACACCGGGACAACAAGTTGGTGTTTCTCCAGTGAACAATGAGATTTCTGGAACCATTTCTCAGCGAATGAGGGTTTTCTTTTCCTCCATGGCCTCACCACTGTACCTCTTCCTCCCAGGCCAGCGCAGGCTCCCCGCCCGCAGCACCTCCCGGCAGCATCACCTACCTAGAGCTGCCTTCAGAGAAGAGGAATTTGGGTTACAGCACCGACCCCTTCACAGGTAAGTGAAGGCGCCCGGTGGCTCCTCCCCAGCGGGCACAGGTCTCTTGGGAGGTGGGAGGTATGTCACTAGTGGCAGTAACACGAAGCCCTTCCCCTGTCCTGAAGACCACAAGTTTGCTGAACAAAGCTCCTGCTGATGCCGTGGTGCTGGGCAAGAGCGTAGCACAGGGCTCCCTCTGTCCCGCAGAGTCTGGTGACCGCTCCGTTGACTCCGACTCCGACCTGGAGGACAGCAGGGAGCTGCTGGCTGCCGCGGACGGGGGCCCACGAACCCAGCTAACGAAACAGGAGAGCGAGACCAGCACAGACGAAGCTCAGTTCTGCGATGACGGGAGCGAGGGACAGCGGAGCCGGAGCTGCAGCATGGGCCAGTCGGACGCGGAGGGCGCCGCTCCCCGCTGCCGCAGCCCCCCAGGAGAAGAGCAAAGCGATGCAGAAGAATACCCCGAGAGACGCCTTTCCGCTGCCGACACGGACTACAACACAAACCAGTCCAACAACACATCTACGCCTGCCGCTGCCTGGCATCTGGCAGCCAGGTGCCAAGACGGCCACAAGCCAGGCAGCGAGCGGCAGCCCTGTTTCATCTAAGCCACCAAACAAAAATACCGCGGTCGCTGGGACGGGGCAAAGGGGCAAAACCCAGAAACTACCCAGGCGCAGCGACTCGCAAAGCGGTGATGTTGAGGGGTGGGGAGGGACAGGACGGAGCCACGGGCAGCTCAGGGGGGTTTGGTGTGTCAGCTGCAGGCAAGTCCTCGCTGTTTCGTGGCTGGAGCTTTCACACAAAACCCCCCGAGTCGCTCGGCTCCCGACGGGGAAAATCGGGTCAGTCTGCCTTGACTGCTGGGAGCGCCTGCTCAATCCAGCAGCCCACGAAGCACGTTACTTGGGAAGGAGCTGAAGCAGGGCAGACCCTTCGCTTGTTGTTCTGGACTGGGAAGGAACCCAGGGCTTTGCCGTGCCCGTGCCAGGTCACAGGCTTAATTTTTGCTGCGCTCCCTAATCCTACGCCTCTACTGCAGAAATTGAGGTAGGAAGAGTCAAAGGATCTGATCATCCTCGCTGGCTGCGGCCAAAAGGGGGAGACGAGGCTGCCGGGAGGTGGCACAGGGAGAGTTCCCCAACAGCGGACAAGAGAACGGCACTGCAGCAAGGCACGGGCGCCGCACGGACAGACGGACAATGCCGAGCACCACGCGCGCGGGCTGGCTCTGCCGGCCTGGGGAACAGCTCGCCGGGAAGGGACGACACGGCCGGAGGAGTGCTGGGTTCGGCGTAGCCGGGTAAAAGGCACCCGCACCGTCTCGCACAGAGCCGGCCTCGGCTTTAGGGCCGCGGCTGCACCGTTTGCCAGGCCCTGCAAGGTACATTTATCATTTATAACTGACTGTACCAGGCACCCAAAGTCCAGTGATCAATTTACTGCCTCAGCACTTCTAAGCAACACAGGACTCAACCAGCGACGTGCCTTTCCTGGCTCGGCTGACGAGGTTTGCATTGCTGCTTGTATTTATGGGCATTTTTCTACTTGGCAGGAGCCACGCAAAGAGCAACCCGCAGGCTGTGAGCAAGCTCAGGGGACAGGTTTTCCTCGCTGCAGGGTCCTGAGCGTTGCCTGATCTCTCAGGGGTTTTTTTTTTTTTTGGATAGATATTTGGTGTCCAAAAATCTGAGCTGCAAGTCCTGGGCTACGCCTTTGCTCTTCCAGCCGGCCGCGAGATGGAGCTGGGCAGAGAGCAGGTCACCAAGGGGAGGTGCCTCCTCCTCAGGACCCCCACGGCCTGGATCAAGTCACAGCCCCTGCCAGTGTAAGAGGCTTTTTTTTTTTTTTTTTTTTGTAAAGAGATAACCCTTCAACACGAATCCACTACCTCTGCTGGCAAAGGAACTTAAAGGGTTAAACAAGACCAGCCAAAGTATTTTTTTAAAGCTACGAGACTTTTCTGCACTGAAGCATAGAGAAACAAGTAGATTTTAAGCTTAGAAAGGGCTGAAAGCTGTTTCCTTCTACCACCCTGCTTGGGCTAGGGTACCCGGGCTGCGTTCCTGCCGTCGCCGCTGAGCGTGCCACTAGACCCGCGGCCCGGGAGGGCGCGTGACCAGCACAGACCAAGAGCTCCCGGCCAGGGACAGATGCGCGAGGGCACCTCACACACAAGCAACTCGCAGCCCACAGCTCCTAAGAAATTGCACGAATCCAAAGGTGTTTTCTAACAATTAGCCAGACCCTTCCTCGGGGAGATGCTGGACACCAGATCATCCCTCGCTCTGCCTGCTCACGCATCAGGCTCTGCAGAGCATCCACCCCAACGGGACAGCGAGGGGGAAGGCAGAGGCCGATCTCCGGCCAAGGAAGCCAAGCGAGCGAGGCGGGAGCGATGTTCCAGCTGAAGATACACCGAGTGGCGTCTGAGGGTTATACACACCTCGTTACTGTAGAACTGGGCGATCAACCAGACGTTTGGCCCCTCAGAGGATCAGCCTCCAGCACAGGGGAGAGCCTGGGCTTCGCGGCTGCCAGAGCTCTCCGAGACTAATCGGAAATGCATCTCAGCACAGTACACACAGTTAAAGGTACACAAAACCAGAGTAAATTTACAGCTGGCTGGTTTGTAACTGAGCCAAAGAAGAGCCAGAGATACCTGCGAGACATTCTGCTCCGCAGCTCTTCAACGGGAGGGTTGGATTTTTCCAGCAGGTCATTTCCACGGCAGCAAGAGGAATGAGGCCGACTGCCCTCTCTTGCTGCCAGCACTGCTACCACGGGCGGTACCGCGTGTGTTTGCGAGGATGGGTGACAGGTGAATGTGAGTGAGGGAAGGGACAAAAGCTACGCTTGAGCTTCACATGGTAACAGGCACCCTTCTATTTGTGTATTAATTCAGCGTGGAAGAAGTAAAGCGTGTTTGTTATGACATGCCTGTGCTGCTGTATGAAGCTGCGTTACGTGTTTTGCTGGGTTCAGATCGACATGCTTCCAAAAAAAAAAAAAAAAAATAAAATCAGCGTGTTCCAACCCGTGTCTGTCCTGGAGATCAGAGTCTTCCAGACCCACATGCCCGTGGCCACGGGAGGCTAAGCACCGTGAGGAAGTACTCCAAGTATTTCCAGCAAGTATACTGAATTTTAAAAACCCTCAAGAGACCTGGAACAGATTAAAATGAAAGCGACTGGGGGGTGATAAGCAACTCTCCGTTGCAATATCTGAACACCAAGGTCTCAAAACAAGGGCCAGAGGTTAGAACAGGTACGGTAAGCAACGAGGTAAGTCTGAACTGCAGCGTCAAAACTGCGCACGACAGCTGGATCAGAGTTCCGCAGGGTGAGCTCCTGGCTCAGCCATGACGGAGAGTCCATCAGGGCTTCAGCAGCAAGGCACCCTAAACAGAATGAAAAATACAGGAACGTGCGAAGTCCAGAAGGCTTTGGTACGGGAAGGGCTGAGAAATACAATACCAGCGAGGAACAGCGAGAGTACAAACCTTTATTAAAAGTAAGATCCTATAAATAAAATAGGAAAGCAAAAGCCTTTTTCCACTCGCTTCCTCCCTGCACAAATCAGTTGCTTCAGGTTACTTCCATGGCACGAGTCCTTAGCGAAGAGCAAGGAGTTACAGCAAAGTCCATGCTGGAAAACAAGGAATTAGGCCAAGTAACACAACTGCATAGAGGCAACACGGAAAGAGAATTTTCTTGGCCATCTATGAAAAGGCAGACGTCTCAGCACGTCTGTAAATTGCCGGTGGATGGGAGGATCGCGAGGTGTCACACAACTCTTCCACACCTGGAAGAAAGAGAACTCGGGATGCGAATCACCTCACGCCTCCCTCAGCAGGCCGCTCTCAAGGCCAAGCCCCACTGCATGCCCTGAACACCGACAGGCATGTCCTAAACGGTGGATACTGAGGCAAGAGACTGATTAAGCCTTGCTCTGGTCTGTCCTCTCACTAACGGTTCCCTCCACAGACAGTTTAAAGTTCTGGGATGATCTTTTCCTGGAGACAGCTCACTTCAAGTCAATCCCGGAAAGCCCCAGTGTAAGTCTAAGGCACTGCCCAAAGCCCTCCGCCAGCCAGAGGGTTTCGTACTCCGCCTTACCCGATAGCTCCAGATTACTGCACCAGCCTGTAGGTGATGTAGCGGCCCGCAGTCTCGCTCGGCCTTATGATCTTCACTACCTAGAAGGCCGACAGGAGGAACTCATGAGGGAGAGAAGCTGGCGGCGAGTTTCCCCTGCAGGGCTTCCCTGCCCGACATAGGGGCGCGCTCAGGCCCAGGCAGCGTGGCTGTAAAGCTGCGGCACTCAGCAGCCACGGAGACGGTCGGCGCTGAGCTCCCTGCCTCAGAGCGGGGGCGTAGTGTGGAAGTGCCGCCCCCCTGTGCAAGGGGAGGGGGGAGATCACAGAGCGTGGGGCTGGTGTCACATCTGCTGGCTGTCACCAGCCGATCCAGCAGGCAGCCGAGGCTGCCGTCTCCTTGCTAGAAGTCTGCTCAGCTTACGCACATCCGTACCTAACCTACAACAGCTTTTACGCTTGAAAGAGATACCCTTCCTGTCTCCGAGAGTTCTGAAATACCGCAGAGGACCTCAGCTCCTTGCCCTGCCCACAGGGAACTGCTGCCCGAGTCTACTTCTCTTACCTGACCACGCTTTATTCCGAAGTACCGGGCCACAGGATCCCCGGCCTGTATCCTCGGGAGCTGGTTCTCTCTCAGCTTACTGCGCAGGGAGTCAAGGAGAAGCTCCCCCCAGCAGAACACGCAGCTGGCCCAGCTGCCCGTTCGTTAGCACAGCGAACGGAAGAAAGCACTAAACCGTCGCACGCAGATGTGTTCACTTTCAGCCCAAAGCAAGCATGCGTCACAAGCAGGCAGGAAGGGCAAGAACAAACAAAGGATACTATCTGGCCAGTAGCTCAGTCACTTCTTCCTTTGTCATGACAACGTGCTCCGGGACCAACTGTAAACAACAGGGCAGAGCGACCCGACGGTTAGAAAGCCAGAGAAAGCGACTGGCTCCTCTCAGTGGTGGGAGAAGCGACACGTTTGTAAGGAAGAAAACTCCGACGGCGTCACTCAGCCCGGCCTTCCAACCGAGAGAAGGTCTCTAGGAGCAGCCCGAGCCGCAGGTCGGCACAAAAGACCGATCGTCCCGCCCTTGCTCCGCTGCCCGACACTGCTCACCTCGTGTTCCGTGATGTTGATCAGGAGCTCCTGCTGCAGGAACTGCTCCAGGATGTACTTGGGAGCCATATCTACCAGGGACTGAAAAGGGAAAGGTCTGTCACGGACTGCCGCACAGCTCTGGGACAGCCCTGCCTGGGCTCAGATCTGCTCCTCGATAAACCCCAGTCACTGCAAACGTGGAATCACCACACTCGCGCTCACACAGATACAGCTACGCGGGCAAAGAGCGCACGCATCTCTTGACCGCTGGCACGTGTCCTCTTTTCTCTCATCAACCCCCTGGCTGCTGATGGGCCATCAGCTCTTCTTCTGGAACCAGAACCAGTTGTTCTGGTTACGTACGCTTGCACGTTAAGCAAGAGCCCGTGTTAAGGTACAACAGGCTTTAGCGAAAGATTTTATCAGGACGGAAATCCTAAGCTTTCGTTAAAAGCTTTGCTTTTCGTTAAAGCAGCGCTGAAAAACAAACAAGCAAAACGCCCGCGGTCCCAACAACAACCCTGACTCGGAGGCAGCCTTCTTTTACGGCGCTTTGTACCTGCTTCGCCGAGGGGGTCATGCCTTGCTGCACCACGATCAGCGCTCTGGTGATGTTCTCCTCCTGCATCCTCTGGCAGTACATCTTGATCGTCTTTATCCCGACCTTGGGCTCCTCTGGGGAAGGGGGCAGCCCCGGGGTTACCAAGAGCCCTCCCTCCCGCCGCTGACCCCTCCAGAAAGCCAAGCCGGACCTTCCCCCCCCAGCTTCCGACCGCGCCAGGAGGAGGCGGCGCAGCCCGGGGA